CCGCCGACCCCCCAACCTTTAATGGCATCGGCGGCCCAGAAGGGCAGCGTGCACAGGAAGAGGAGGTCGGCCACGGCCAGGTTGAGCAGGTAGACGTCCGTCATGGTCTTCAGGCGGTTGCGCACGGTGGTGTAGATCCAGACCACCATCAGGTTGCCCACGGCGCCCAGCACAAAGATGATCCAGAAGAGGGGGGGCTCGTACCAGCCTCGGAATTGCCTGACCCAGCTCCTGTCGCACATGCCGGTGATCTGGGTGGGGCCCAGATCGTAGTCGCCCGAGTAATCAAAAGGGTCCTGCTAAAACACAAACGAAATTGCGGGCGTTCTAGTCGTTTCTTGACGATTTTACCTATCGGACAGCGTCAGAGATATAACCGTTTGTCTTTTCATTTTTTTTTTCCCTTTTAGTAAACCATCTGTTGCCACACTTGGAGCGCACACACAGAAGCTCCTGGTGGAGGCGCGGTGACGTGACATCAAAATCGCTCTCACACGCACTCAAGTTAACCAGAGCGAGGAGACGGAGCGCGCCTCGTGCAGCTGCTCGCATCTCGCCTGGAGATATAACCGTTTGTCTTTTCATTTTTTTTTTCCCTTTTAGTAAACCATCTGTTGCCACACTTGGAGCGCACACACAGAAGCTCCTGGTGGAGGCGCGGTGACGTGACATCAAAATCGCTCTCACACGCACTCAAGTTAACCAGAGCGAGGAGACGGAGCGCGCCTCGTGCAGCTGCTCGCATCTCGCCTGGAGAAACCACATCGCTGCACGACTTCCTGCTACCATCCACAGTGTGTATGTGTGTGTGTAAGGGAGTGGGGGGTGGTCCTCTGGTTAGGGCCCCGCCAGGTTAGATGAGGGACAGAGATAGAGAGCGTCGTGAAACGTGACAATCAACTGGCCCAGATCGTAGTCGCCCGAGTACTCAAAAGGGTCCTGCTAAAACACAAACGAAATTGCGGGCGTTCTAGTCGTTTCTTGACGATTTTACCTATCGGACAGCGTCAGAGGTATAACCGTTTGTCTTTTCATTTATTTTTTTTTCCCTTTTAGTAAACCATCTGTTGCCACACTTGGAGCACACACACAGAAGCTCCTGGCGGAGGCGCGGTGATGTGGCATCAAAATCGCTCTCACACACACTCAAGTTAACCAGAGCGAGGAGACGGAGCGCGCCTCGTGCAGCTGCTCGCATCTCGCCTGGAGAAACCACATCGCTGCATGACTTCCTGCTACCATCCACAGTGTGAATGCGTGTGTGTAAGGGGGGGGGGGGGCGGTTAAAACCATGTGTTTGTATTTTTTTCTTTGTACAAATATGAATACAAATTGTTCATTACGTGGATTACATGTGCTCAATCAAACAGAAGTTTCATCATGAAAAAAAAAACAAAAAAACATATTTGGCCCAATCCAAGAACATTTTTGCCAATTTAACTGACAACTTTACATTTAAAGTGAAGAGAAGAAAGCTCGGAAGGGAAGTCCGTCGAAATATGTTTATTTCTATTTCTTGTTTATATTCTAATATAATAAGTGCAGCGTAATTCACAAGCCACGATGGCACTGCGCCAACGACAAATACTCACAGTGACAAAGTCATCAGTTTGTGCTCAATCAAACAGAAGTCTCATCATGAAAAAAAAAAACATATTTGGCCCAATCCAAGAACATTTTTGCCAATTTAACTGACTTTACATTTAAAGTGAAGAGAAGAAAGTTCGGAAGGGAAGTCCGTCTAAATATGTTTATTTCTATTTCTTGTTTATATTCTAATATAATAACTGCACCGTAATTCACAAGCCACGATGGCCCTGCTCCAACGACAAATACTCACAGTGACAAAGTCATCAGTTGCTGTCGTCACGGATGGCGAAGGAAAAAAATCACCCATGTTATCTGCAAGAATTAAGAGTTACATGATCACCTGAATTCGTTATTTTAACAAGAGGTAGGATACTAGTAATAATAATAATAATAATAATCGTGTTGCAGCAAGTGTTTTACCTTCTTGGTTGGGTGCGGATGCACAAGGTCTGATGCACAAGCTCTTCTTTTTTTTGTTGTGTGTGTGTGTGTGTGAGCGCGACTCATCCTCTGCTGGCTTTTATGACTTCTCCACGGCCGCAAGATCACGTGCTGATCATTCCACCTCTGTCTCAATCGACAGCGAGCTCGTGCGCACAACCACACACGCGAACCCGTCGTGGGACAACCTCACGGTGCGTGCGGACCACCTCTTGTCCAAGGATGATCCACTGACCGTGTCATCGTTGAACGCGCATGCCCAAATAGACAGTAAGGCATGCCTATCAGACCGGAACCACAACAATTTCTCTCCACAGATGATAAAATTTCAGGTCACCTTACAAAAAAAAAAAAAAAAACAAAAAAAACCTTTGTGTGCACAGGTGGAGCACTCAGCATGACTGATGCGTGAAACCCAAAACCTTCAGGTGTGATTAAAGAGCAGAGGCGCCCCGATGCTAAGACGGAGCCCCCGTACAACTGTGGGAAGCGTCTCCGATGACACCCAAGGCGTAATTCGACACTTTTTGCCTTCACCGTCACTCGGATGATGGATGAGATAAGGGCGCCGCGCACCTCTTGACACCTGCGCTTTTGCATTTCTGTGCCATCGGATCCGATTAAACGGATCATTTTGGGCAGAATCCGGTTTCACGCCGGGAGTTAGATGGCACCCGTGAGGCATGAAGCGCACACAACATTCTTTTAGTACAAATAAATAGTTCAGCCTTTACTTGGTCAATTCAGTTGAATTGATGATAAGTTATGAATCCAGGTGAGGAGTTATCTTTTATGGGTCGATCGCAAAGCTCACTGGCGCTGTCTGAAAACTAAATGGAAAAAAAAAATATAGACCCCAACAGCGGTTTCACCGGTCATCGGGAAGTTGGGTACCACCCAAAGAGGACGCACAAGAAAGTCTTAACGGGAAGTCCATCATTTTGGTCTGAAGGATTTAATTTCGATGAACACCTACTGAAAAAATTCGCCCAAATTGAAATTCTTATTTCCGACACAGATGGGTGGTTTTTTTTTAACCTATGCTGTGTCAACTGGGTAAAACACGACATCAAGATTTGATGATAATTTCAAATAAATCCCTTTTTTTTGGGGGGGGCGCTTCAACGTGGTGAGAAGTGAAAACCCCTACCCCCCCGTCCCGACCCGAAAATTTATTGAGAAGTGTAAAAATAAGGCTGACGCGAGTTTCACCGATTGACACGAAAGTGGCACCTGGAAAAAAAATTCTCAACACACGTCTTGAAAGTGAACAGGAAGTCAACCAATTTGGTCTGGACCATCAGTTTTCTATCATCAATTCCAGGACTCGTACTTTTATAACTTTCAAATCGGGATTTTCCCCCAACTGGGTCCTGCTCAGAATCAGGTAAGCTACACACACGGGCGATTCCAATTGCTAATCTTTTTTTTTTTTTTTGCTAGCACCATCGAATGCGGTTGGAGTACTGCGATTCATTCGAATGATTCTACTTTAGAGGATTTTATGAGAAAAAGAGAGCCGACGTAATCGCTTTTTTAAAAAATCATTTGTGGTTGTACTTTGCATTTGTATTGCTGGATACCTAAATGAGAAAATTAACGTGTACGTGTGTTGTATGTTACTTAAAGCTACAACTAGAAACACGAATTTACACGGTGGCCAAAAAAAAAAAAAAAGACAAGCAGAATTAAGGCACTTTTTCTTACAGCTCATGTACTGCACTTTGCATTATTTTATAGGATGACACTGTTCAAAACCATTCATGTGACATGGGAAAAAAAAAAGTGGGGCTTGCCAGTAAAGGGAAATACATCAAATGACCTAAGTCACATTACTAACCGCAGCAGCACAACACACGCTCCACAAGGAGACTGTCCCAAACAAAGCTGACGAAACACGCGCTGGTAACTCACCAGTCACGCCAGTTTGATTGACAAGCCGGCTTTTGTTTCGCAAGAGGCACTCGTCTCACTTTTGTCAGTTGGCATCCCTACGAGGCCCAGGGAAACAGCTGCACTACAGGAACGACCCCAGGGGTGTTTCCTGAAATAACACTGCCAAAATCACCACGAGCGGAAAAGTGCTTGGTGGTGTTTTGTACATTGCAGCGTATTTTTTTTCAGGTATCCTAACTCTTTGTTTACCACATGAAGCAGTGCGAGTGATGCAGGTGGAAGGCGGGTCCGATTGCAGCAAGTTTCACTGCAAACAGCGGTTGGGGCTTGGAAGCAGGTGACCCCACAGACAAGTGTCAAAAGTACCTCACGTTTAGTTTGTACTTGTGGTATTTTGGAGTTGTGTACAACCACCCCTACCTCATATCGAGAGACAATAGTCACCTTACTTAACTCATTCAATGCCACGGACGTTTTTTTTTCTTCGTGTTTTTAAAGAATCCCAGGTATGTGTTTAGGTATTTTTTTTTAATTCACGTGATAGTTCCAGCACACCTCTTGTGAGAATAAGTGGATTCGAAAATGGATGGATGGATGAAGGGAAAAAAATCAGATATAGTAGTCACAGAAAAATCAAAACAATGTTGTGGCTTTCAGGGCCAATTTTTTTGTTTTGTTTTTTTAATTCTCAAAGTGCAATTCAATGTCAACCTTTTAGCGGGAGAGGCATGTTCGTAGTTTCATTGAACCCCTAAGAAACGAGTACTTAATCCAGCTCAAGAAGCTTCTGATCATCCCATCCAAAAAGAGAAGCCGACAACAGAGAAAAAAAAAACGTCAGATTGGGCATGAATAAACAAGTTCTGACACCCCCCTCCCCCCCAAAAAAAGAAGAAAAAAAAGCTGCTTTATTCTGCTTGCGTCAGGATGGAAGGCTTGGTCATCCTAAAACGTTCTGCTTCCGTCTTTCGCGCCGAACTTCCCTTCCAGCCGATGACGTTGGGGACTCATTCGTTAGGCTCGTATCTGAAAAAGACAGCCGCCATGAAAAAAACCCCGCCATGAGTCACACACAAGTCATTGCAGAAATGCATTCCCATGGCAAGTCCCGATCGTTCCTTATTAAAGACCCGTTTTGAAGGAGAGGAGTGGGGGGAATTATTTGAGGCACGGCTCGGTCCCCGATGCAGAATTTCGAGGTGATTCATGCCAACGTACTTCTGCAGTCGTTTTCTAATTTCCTTGATCTGCTCGTTTTTCTTTGCCAGGATCTCCTTCATGTTGCGATAGGCCGCCGTTTGCTGGAACTTCTTGTCCAGCTCCTGCACACGCCAACACACCCGCACTCAACGAAAAGTTTCCCACCCGCCGACACACACGGACGACGGCGGACCTTCTCGGCCATGGCCAGCTGCTCTTGCACTCGCAGGAGTTCGTGCTTGGCCGAGACCAAATTCTCCTGCAGGTCCTTCTGGGAGGCGGCGCTGACAGTCAGCGAGCGCTCGTAGTCCTCCTTGAGGGCCGCCACCGTGTCCTCCAGACAGCTGATTTCCTTGGAGTGAGCCGTCAGCTAACAGGTGGGGAAGGTGGGGGGGGGTGTTTAGGGCGGGAATCTTCTTTCAAAGCGGTCAACTCCAAAATGAGCTGTACCTGCTTGTCACCTTGCACCTTCTGGAGATCTTGAAGGGCTTTCTGGACTTTGGTCTTCTCGTCCAGTACGTTCATTGCCTGGCGGAATGAGAAGAAGGCTGAGTGAATAGTCGCTAGGAAGGGGGCGTGCGTCCAAAGTATGCTGACCGACCTGCGATTCTAAAGTGCGCAGTTTGGCTTTCAGGTTCTCATTCTCCTCCTGTAGCTTTGCGATCTCCTGAAATGTATCAATCGGTACGAATGACGCAGGATTAGAATTTGGTTCTTCTCCACGAAGTGGAGCTCCGTACCTTGTTGAGGAGTTCAGAAACTCCGGCCTCATTGAGCGGCGCCAGTTTAGGTTTGCTGGCGTCCTGGTTCATCTGGCGCAAAAGAAAAGAAGAGACGTCGCGCTTCTTGATGGTTTTCAAAGCAACGAGCGCTAACGTATGCTCACGCGCCGTTCAACTTTTCGGGCTTTAGTCTTGACGCTCACCTTATCAGAGACTTTAAAATCAGTCTTCTCAAATTCTGCTACTTGCTCGAGGAGCTCCCTGTAGGGGTACAGAACACGGAGTGAGCAAAATTTACCACGCCAAGGCAATAGGACCCGAAAAGAGTATCACCCGAACGAAATATTAACGTTTTAATTCAACTCCTTCCGGTGTTACATTAAAATCAGACAAATGTCTCGACGATCGCTTGACAAATTCTTTACGTTGACACTCGGCCGCCGTCGTGTTATTTGGAAGACGGCGATCGCTCCACAGTGATGATATTTTGTTGTTGACAGCAGCGGAGCCCTGACACTCGAGATATCGCGGCCACCGAAGGAGCGCGCAGATTGTGGTTTGAAAGAGCGGCTGTAGCGCACGTAGATCGCTGCACGTGACGGGGCGTACGTGTTGCTTTAGAAACTATCTTGTCACGTAGGGCTGGAAGAAAAACAAGATTCAAATCCACCCATTCTGAGCACACATTTGGGGCAAAGGTGACTGAAGTGAAATGTTACACCAAGTTCACCAAAACACTGTCGTGTATATAAAACCAAAGTATAGAAGGAGACATCTGAGCAAGGAAGGTGGCCTCTTGGACGAAGTGCGCGAGTTAATACTCCGTCAAGTAAGGTTACATTGTACAAAGATAACTGAAGATTTTTTTCAGATTTTTTTTTAACTACAGAAACACGATATTATCACATTATTTTGCAATGACAACGATGGTTGTTACCTGTCGTTTGGTTTACACTCGGGCACCCAAACTTGGACCGGTCGTTCCTCACCTGTTCTCCAGCTCGGAGATATCTGTCTGCAGGCGCAGGTAGTACTTTTCGGCCTGGAAGAAGAGCTGGCGCAGTAGCAGGACGTTGGTGTGCGCCGTGTTGATGAGTTCCATCTCCACCTCGCCGCGCACCACCGCGTGCAGCCCGTCCAGCATATCGCGCACCTCGTCGGCTGTGAACGTCTCCTCCACCAACCTTTGGACGCAAGCACACACACACTGTAGTCCATCTGAACCCTGGCAGGACAGCAGAAAATGGCTAGTACACAGGCTCCCTCTATTGGTACGTGAAAGAATTGCTGCATAAGTACAATTCAGTTGTATTTTACCTTTTTTTTTTTTTTTTCACACAGGCTCCCTCTATTGGTATGTGAAAGAATTACTGCATAAGTACAATTCAGTTGTATTTAACTTTTTTTTTGTTTTTGTTTAATACATGCACTCAATCTTTAATCTCTCAATCTTTTAAACATTTCTTTTGGTCCAATTCTCATTTCACTTAGAGGTGCGCTCCATCTGACACGCCCACCTGCTGTCTTTGAGTTCTTCAAAGCAGGAATCCACAGTTTTGAGCCGCAACAAGCGTTTGGATCGAGCAAAGCGCATGTAGTTGATCACCTCATTCTGATGATGCTCATTACCCCCGAATTCAGCCTAGGGAAGGAGGGACGGAGGGAAAACAAGAGCATCTCAGAACTGTGAGGCAGATGTGTTGCAATTCCTCATTTTGTTATATTGTTGAACATTTTCAACGTTGATCTATTCATGATTGTGTTGACGTGCATAATTTGACAAAATCCAACTTGTTTTTCCACAGTATCTGAGAGGGGGGGAAAAAGTCTAAATTATTTCTGTGGAAGTTGACGCACAACACTGCTGGGCGGGGCAACCGTTTCAAGGCTCGGATCAATTAAAACAAATCCCAGGAGGGGGAAAAGTCGGCGCTAACACGGCGAACATAATCAAGCGACGACAAACCCAGACAGCCAAATTGAAAGTAGCAACAGGCCCTCGACAAGACCAACATCAGGCGTTTGAGGCAAGAATTTACGAAATGGCTGCTAGCGCTTATTCCGAACAACCAAGGATGAAAAGAGTCACTTACCATGTTGGCTGCGGAGCTAAGGTTAGCGTCACTTGTACTTCTGGTTGGGGATAAAATGTAAGGAAATGGATAATGTGCGGCTAATGGAAACTAGATTTGGGAAAAATAACACTGCACTAGCGTTACTGCGACCTGGTAAAGCTCACAGCAATATAGTTTAAGCAAATACTCTGACTCGGCACAGACTAATGAGTGATTTCGCGATGTTTGTGGAAAGATAGAGTCCGATTGGTCAAGCTAGCAGAGAAGCTAACTAAGCGTTTGCAAGTGAACACCTCGGTAACTAAGCGTCATTGCCTTGGTTACGAGCGGTGCGTTCATGGTAACTCCGTAAACCATAGCATCCTACAGCAGTGACGCCAATGTCGTAATTTTTGACCAATCTATTCAATTATGTGCATTTTACATTTTATCAAATGGAAACATTATTCACCATTATCAGTCTTTATATCTGAATAATTCTCACCCATAAGCGTCATTTCAATCACAGCGAAGCCACCGAATTATTCACCATTATCAGTCTTTATATATGAATAATTCTCATCCATAAGCGTCATTTCAATCACAGCGAAGCCACCGAGGATAAAATGTAAGGAAATGGATAATGTGCGGCTAATGGAAACTAGATTTGGGAAAAATAACACTGCACTAGCGTTACTGCGACCTGGTAAAGCTCACGGCAATATAGTTTAAGCAAATACTCTGTCTCGGCACGGACTAAATGAGTGATTTCGCGATGGTTGTGGAAAGATAAGAGTCCGATTGGTCAAGCTAGCAGAGAAGCTAACTAAGCGTTTGCAAGAGAACACCTCGGTAACTAAGCGTCATTGCCTTGGTTACGAGCGGTGCGTTCATGGTAACTCCGTAAACCATAGCATCCTACAGCAGTGACGCCAATGTCGTAATTTTTGACCAATCTATTCAATTATGTGCATTTTACATTTTATCAAATGGAAACATATTATTCACCATTATCAGTCTTTATATATGAATAATTCTCATCCATAAGCGTCATTTCAATCACAGCGAAGCCACCGAATCTTTTAAATGGACCACAAAAAGGGAAGTTGTGATTTTTATCCTTTCAGAGTTTTTCAAACCGTAATTATCACGGGAATTAATGAAGTTTGTCTCAAGCTTGTTTTCGTTCTTTCTTTCTGTTCACGTTATAATATTTTTGTTAACCCGTTTTTGCTTGAATAAACTGGAATTACAATTCTTTTTGTATTGTACATATTTAAATAAAGTAAAAAAAGATCAGTGTCATAATTCGTGACAGTGTTAGAGTTCCACTTATTTTTTTTAGAATTACATTTTTTATACCGTCTAATCTTGTAAATGTTTGAAAAATTACTTCCTCAAGACTTGTCAGTACACTGCCCGGGTGGTTTTGTGGTGGTGGTGTTTTTATCCACATTCATCAATCCCATTCATGTCCTGCTTCCCCATATGAGTTCAAAGCATTGAACAATAGATGGCAGCAGTGATCCAAGACAAACTTGCTGTGACCTATTCCATCAAACTTGGAGCATATTGGCTCATTTTTGGATGCACAATTGGAGCAACGTGACACTAATAGGGCAGCAAAATTGCATTTGGTGCGACTGCATTCCGGCAACATGATGAATGGGTGGTGAGCCCATCTGGACTGACACTCCTGAAGTTTGGGGTTAAAGGTCCGGCCCTCCCGTGTGGCGTTTACATGGTCTCCCTGAGCTTGTGCAGGCTTCTTCCCACATCCCCAAAACCTTCCATGTTAGCTTCATTTCGGACTCTAAATTGCCACATAGGACTGAATGTGAGTGTTCCGTGCCCCGCAACTCACTCAAGACCAGTTCAGGGTGTACCCCGTCGGGCAGTCAGCTGGGATAGCCTCCAGCTCGGCCCGTGATCCTAATGAAGACACGAATGACGCTATTCCTACATGACATCACCAGGCAACAGCCTGCCAATCTAAAACTAGACTCAACACAAACTAAAAATGTTTTTATCCAGTAGCCCCTTTATCATACCACTCAATAGTTTTGATGCTTTGCTTTTTTTCCGTCTGTGATCTGAGGTAAAGACAGGAAACTCCACCCCTGAATTTCTTCTCTGTAGCCCTTAAATGAATTAAACTAAGGGGCAGCGCATGATTGGTCACCAAATCAGATGCTTCATTATAACGTGACTGACTGCCCAGTTTGTGTTTGACCCCACTCAAGTTGAGTGTGCGGCATCAGTACAAGACAGAGGCCAAGATGTTTCCCCTTTACCTCCAGTCAAGGTGAGTTACATCACATTTGACTTTAGGGAGCCAGTGTCTTAAGAAGATATCGGAATGGCTTTTTCATCATGCAGAAAATAGTGATGTAGTTTCTCTTCACCTGATTGGTTCACAGCTATTGTTTATTTATTGCAATACAAATTATGTACATTATCATACAACAGAATCATTATTGCTATTTCATACTGTAGTTTTTATGACATTTTGGTTTGCAGAGGTACTGTGAGAAGTAAAATTGGCTCAATGTAGTTTGGGATGCACACGATTGGCTATTGAAGTGTTTATTTTTTTGCAGTTCATATTTGAACATTGCTGCCACTAGAGAGCACAATGACCCTTTTTCTTAGCCAGGTGTTGCAGTTGCAGGCGTCTTTCGGTTTGTTAACATTAGAATGAATATTGATAGGTTTGATATATTAAAATATAAATATTTTTGGTTTGAGTAGGAACTCACTGGGTTAAATCATACAATTTGGCAGCCGTGGATTCACATACAGTATTCACAGATTTTATTGAGATCGTTTCCAATATTTTGTTATATTTTTTTCATTTTTGTTTTTACCCTCATGGTTTGACCCACAAACTCATACCTCCACCCCAGTTTTTGGTAAAAAACGTATTGTGAATGTTTATCAGCGTTTCTTGGAGATTTTTTGGGGGTGGTTGAAGTGTTTATTTTTTGTTTATGTCCATTGCATTTCAATGGCCGTCACTAATACGCTAGTTGCTATTCGTGGGGGGCGCGGGGGGTGTCCCTGTCCTCCCGCGAATACCGTCTGTAGGTACAATTCACATTTCGACGATGAAACGTAAAGGCACGATCGAAGCCTTTACAACTGCTCCACAATCAGTTTCTTCCGTATTCCTCAATTTAAAAAGAGCCCATACGGAGTGAAAGCTGATCTGCAATCAGCTCGCGCCACTCTGCGCGTTCCGACAAGCCAATCAGCTGACCGCCGCATGACAGGCAGACTTGGCGCATGCGCACTGGCGCGTTCTGGCTCGGATGAATATGGCAGCGTCCTGAGCGCCGTTGTGGGGGGGGAAACGACGGCGTAACGCGAGCACCTTCGGCACCCGAGCGGCCACAGCGAGAGGCGGCAGCAGCACACCGAGGAGGGCGGGGGGCCAAGGGCCGGCTGGAATTCACACCCGCTCGTGATTTGACAGGTAAATGCTTCCTCATTCTTTGCCCCACTGTTGGAGACATCTCGCCCATGTAATTGGAACCCGCTGCTAATGCGACTAGCTTAGTGATGCGCGAGTTAGCCGCTAGTTTTAGCATCACAAGATGGGGCTCCAAACTCCGTTCGTGTTCGTAACATTCCCTCAAAACATCCTGTGCTTTGAAGTGGTCTCGTTTGGGTGACCGGCGATGTAGAAAGGCGACGGCGTCCAAACCGGACAGTCATGAGTCAAGCTCATCCTAGGCCGCTTTGCAGTGCAGCAGTCGAGTTAAGTGAAGTTGTCGACTGATAAGCCTGGTGACCAAACGCTTGTCACAAGGGAGCAAATTAAAGTTCGTTTCCCATGACGCAAAGAAGAAGCGCTCAAACTGTCAAAAGTGGTTCCGATGAGCTGCTACAGCCTTCCTCGGAGAACGACTGCTTCGTTAAATTGATGTATGACACCCAGAGACCTGATTAGTTAACAGCCAGCCTTAATTACTTCATCTTCCGTCTCATGGTTCAGAGTCAAATAACCCTTTGCATTGTGGCTCAGTTCCTCATCATCAAGTTTTGAATAATAAAAACCTGTATATGACAATTTTTTTCTCATGTATCTGTAACCTAAAACATAGCAATGTAAACACGAGGGCTGCAGACGTGATTAATCTGTTGATTATGTTTTCGTTTAGTCGACGAATCAGATGAAAACGTTTTCTTTCAAAAAAAAAAAAATGCATCCCCTTATTCCAAAACAGGACATTATTTCAAATAGACAGAGCAGAAAATGCATGAACAAAAATGGGTTCTGATTCAGGTACTGGTTTGCTCTGGAACTTGTCAGACAATTGAAAAGGATACGTTTGCCAATGGTTCTATTTTGATTCCATACCAGGACAGTCAGTGTGATTTCATGGAGGACTACAAAAATCGGACAATAAGTGGCTGAAACCAGAGGATTTAGAATAGATCGTTTCAGGATAACAATCCCTCTAAGCGAGATCAGCAGGAGCGCCACAAGGCCCTTTAAATGATCACGATTTACAAATTGTTCGATTCTTGACATGCAATTTTACGTTTTTTATTTTCTGTTTTATATATTTTTACCTAATGGGGTCCTTTATATCAAAAGAACATCTGGATAAATTGGCTGCTACGTCCAATTTGTTCCTGGCCCACTGTGCCATAATGGCCCTTGGCCAGGTTGAACCTTGCACCCTGGCTCTGCTCCAGCCGACCAAATATGAGCTCAAGATGCATACGAGGCACATTTCAAGAGTCGTCGGGCTCTTGAGTAATGTTTTGGTGGCACCTTTCAACAATGTGGATGCTTCTCATGAAATCAGCGATTAAATATGAGAAGGTGCTCAAGCTGTCCGGATGATCTTGGCGTGTAAATGTTGCTCTCTTCTTCCGATGGTCCATTAATACTTCGCTATTGATCCGCCTTCAGACAGGAAGCGGGAGCCGGCCCCGCAATGGCTTGTCACATGATCCGACATGGCCTTAATGTGAATTTGTATGCGTGAAGGTCCTCAAGCAAACTTTGGCACTGGCTTGTTCCGGTGTCCGTGTGTGATTGACTGGATTGTGAATCATTTCGTCAAAGTGCCCACTTTTCAGCAGCAGTCGTGCAGGCATTCTTCCATTTGGCCCGAGAGTAGCGGAAGGAAAGCTGGCGTCCGACTTTTCCCGGATTCTGGCAGAATGCTGACACAGGACCTCGCGC